CCCTCAGGTCCACGTCCTCAGTCTGGTTTGGAAATGTGGCTGTTATCCCAGGGACACTCCAAACCCCATGAGAAGGCAGACAGAGTCTCAGAGATGAGCATCTGGTAAAAGCCCTTTTTAATAGAGCTGCAGGGGATAAGGATTCCTCTCCAGGGTGAGTACTTGTAAGCCTTGTAGCCAGGACATGGCTGCTGGTGACTGGACTTGCAAAGCACGTCTGTGTGCCCCTGTTGATTTCCCAGTCCTGATCTATTTAGGGAATGGTATCAACATTTTGCTTTGGAGAATAAACCTGCATTTCATGGGTTTTACAACAATGTCAGCTGAGGATGGGGGAACGCACATTGGCACAAACTTTTGAAGGGACCTTTTGGTACCAACATTTAAAATTTATATCTTTTGATCTGGTATTCCAACCTCTTGAGATTTAATGTGTAGAAACACTTCAGTGTCTCCAGTATGCAGAGCTATGTTTGGGAATCATCAGAAATTAGAAACAACTCAACTGTCTACGGCAATACGACCGTGAACGCACCCGATACCGTCTGATCTCAGAAGCTAAGCAGGGTGGGGCCTGGTTAGTACTTGGATGGGACAAACAACTCAACTGACCATCAGTGGACAAATGCTTAACCAAGCTGCAGTTCACCCAAACACTGGATGACAAGCCATCATCACCAAGGAGAGGGTCGGTAAGTGCTGATATGAGTGTCTCCAAGTTACGTGACTAAGAAAAAAACATACAGAACACTTCTTATGGTAGTAAATAAGATCTGCAGGGATTATGCACCAGTTTGCCAGTGGTAATCTTGGGGTAGGAGTTGAGGTGAGATTGTGGGAATTTTTCTTTCTTTGGAAATACGGTAGCTATTGGGTAGCAGCAGCCCAGTGGTTAAAAGCACAGCATTTGGAGCCAGATTGTCTGGGTCCAAATACTAGTTTGGCCACTTCTTACTGGCTAAGTAATCTGGGGCAAGTAATTAGCCTCTTGCGTGCCTCAGTCTTCCCATCTGTACAATAGGAATAATAACAGTACCTATCTCACAGGCCCAGGTGAGTGTCAAGTGGATGAATATGTGCCCAGTGCACATATTACAAGGTACATAAACATTACATGTGTTATAATTCATATAACACGTCATCTGCACGCACACACACATGCGCACACACGCACACAGCAGAGCTCCTGAGGGCTGTGCCACTCTTTACCCTCAGGAGGAGCAGGGGGCCAGCTCAGGGGCAGCAGGCAGCCCTCAGCATGTCAGTGGAGCTCAAATGACCTCTACGTGGGCCCCACGTGCTGGGGTTCATGTGTGTACAGAAGCACCAAGTCTGCATCTCAAACTGGACTCTCCTTGAAAGGCTTCTTCTCCACACTCATTTTGGGGGCAGAAGCACCATTGTATTCAACAGATGTTCAAAATAGTTCCTGGAGGGTCTTCCAATGTGGTAAACAGGATCCTGGCTGGGACCCAGGAGACTTGGATCCAAATCCCACTGAAGGGGGATAACAATAGCTCGCTGCCCTGTTCTGCACGGTTGCTGGGAGACTTGGACAAGCTTAAGGATGGAAAATGACTTTCCAACCTAAAGGAAACACAGAGCAACTGATCTCGCTACTCTGTGTTCCACAGGGACTGCAGCGTGTCCTCTGGGGGAGGGGCACAAAAACTGAAGCCTCCTGATAGCAGGGAGCTACCGAGCCACCGTGAAGAACTCTGGAAGGGACAACAGGGCAAGATCCCTCAAATGATAAGTTTCAGCCACTCCAGGGCTGCCGGTGAGGGTTGCCTCCCTGCTTCCCCTTACCGGCTTGTGCAGAGGGCGCTGAGCACAGCCTGAGCCCACCAGCAGGGAGGAGGCAGCAGCGGGTATTGTGAGCCCCAAAGCAAATCCCCAACCCCCAAGCATGATTCAGTTCCAAGCAGAGTGGCGCATGGAAGTCAGAGGTGCTGCGTACTGCAGTGAGGCTGCTGCATGTGACTGCAGAACTTGCTGGAGGACAGAGCCAGGCCCTCAGAGGTCAAGGCTGCTCCTGGGGACAGGGGGGTGTGCAGAGAAGACCCTCATGGTCGGAGAAGAATGGCTCCCTCTCACAGCCCACCCTGGAACTCAGCTCCTGTTTCTAACTCTCTCCTCCTGCCACAGACATGCCAGCTGAGATTTGGATTTCTGTGCAAAGACTGCAGAAGCCTATCTGGTTTTGTACAGGTCAGATGAATCATCCCCCAAATTATTCTTATCAGTTGATCCACTTTCAGAGGTTGTTGCCATCCCTCCAATGCGGCAAACGGGCGGCGAGAGTCACGGGCAGGTGGCAGGCAGTGCTTGATCGGTCACCTCTCAGATAAAGAGACAGCAGGTGGACGGACGGAGGGCAGATCCACACGGTTGCTTTCCCCTTTCTCTTTTGACCGATGAGGAGGAACTGCTGCCGCCAGAGAAGAGGAGCTATGACGACGCAGGGCGGCCGGGGCCAGGTTGGGGGGTGCTGTGGAAAGGGATGGGGCTGCTGCTTCCTTTTTACTGAGGAAGAAAACAGTGGCGAGGGTTGGTTATACGCATTTCCTACGTCACAGCATTTATCATCTTGGCCGTACAGCACTTTCCAAAAACAAGCTGAAGGGGCTTCAGGTAAAAATAGGTCTGTGGATGCACCACCTTGCTCAGAGTGGCCCCCAGGGTTTAATGGGATCACCCCTCTCACCTCATCCCCTCCCTTTCCTCTCGCTGTGCTCAAGCCACACGGCCCCACCCCCACACCTGCTGGCCTCTGGGCCTTTGCACTTGCTGGCCCCCTACGTGGAGTGCTCTCCCCCCAGGAATGTCTGTGGCCTGTCACATCCTTCTGATCCTTACCGGAGTATGAGCTTCTCCATATGGCCGTCTCTGGACAACCTGTCTCAACTTGCAGCTCCCACATCACGTGATCCTCATCCTCCTTCCTGACTTTATTTTCTTTATAGCATTTGTCACCATTCGACATCCTAGCTTATTTGTCTTGTTTATTGTCTGTCTCCCTCCCCCCGGGGCAAGGGTTTTGTCTGTTTTGCTCACTGCTGTGTTCTCAGGGCCCAGTGCAGCATATGGCACATAGTAGGTATCCAATAAGCTACTGTCGTTGTTGTCTGTGACTTGTTTTCTGACCCTCCAGTCCCTGGCCCGCTGGCTCTTACACGTGGATGGGTGGGCAGAGCCGTAGGAAAGAAAAGGAACGGAGGAGAACGGGGGGAACAAATGGAGCAAGGAGTGAGGGGGGCTGTTAGGAAGTGTGGAAAAGTACGTGTGTGGACAGACGATAAGGAGCAAAGTGAAAATTAAGAGATTTCTGAATAATAACAGAGGACTTGTAGAAGGGCAAGTTTGTGCCAAGGAGGAAGAAAAACAAAGCAGAGGGGAAACTCTCCAGAACATTCAGGAAGTCAAACCTGAACAGGCAGTCACAGCTTGGGCAGAAGCTGGAGGTTTGGCTGTAGCCACTGCTTTGGGTCCCTGCATGTCCTCTGCTATGGACAGTGGACCTGGGAAGAGGAGGAAGAGACCAGGAAGGGAAAGAAAGGAGACCAGGAGGGCTGGGGCCGAGTGAGTGTTACAGGGGAGTCTGGGTGACAGGCACTGGGCAGAGGAGGAGTTGAAGGGGAGGGGCCCAGAGAACAGAGAGGGAGCGCAGTGGTGGAGAGGGGGCAGAGGGAGAGGCAGAAGGGGGCTCTATGGAGAAGAGATGGGTGGGGGTGGCAAGTAAGACATGCCTCTTAGGCTCCGTGGCTCACACCTGTAATCTCAGCACTTTGGGAGGCTGAGGTAGGAGGATCGCTTGAGGCCAGGAGTTCAAGACCAGCCTGGGCAACATAGGGAGACTCTATTTCTACCAAAAAAAAAAAAAGGAAAATTAGCTGGGTGTGGAGGTGCTCACCTGTAGTCCCAGCTACTCAGGAGGCTGGGACAGGAAGATTGCTTGAGCCCAGGAGTTTGAGTTTGCAGTGAGCTATGATGACACCACTGCGCTCTGGCCTGGGCAACAGAATGAGACCCTGTCTCTAATGGAAAAAAAAATCTGTAATTAACTGGCAAATGGCCATGTTTGTATATAGATCCTTTAGTCACTCGAGTTTTCAGAAATTGCATTTTGGTTTCCCTGGTCTGGTCGCCCCAGGGAGCAGGATAAACTCCTGTAATAGAATTCTGTACTGAGCCCTGCAAAGCTGAACCGATCAAGGAGCTCTGGGTGAGCCTTGTCAAGGTGTTGACAACAGGGAAGGCTTATCTGGAGCAGCCAGCCAGTTTCTCCTTTTCGTTATCTCTTTTAGCTGCAATCAAAATGCAGTGGCCAAATATATATATAAATAAAGTGGAGACCACAGTGCTATATCTGAAACTGTTTCACTAACCCTGGCATCGGGCCACCACTGTGCAACATACTTTCCATCCTGCATTTGGTACTAACCCATTGTCTAGGCATTCATCTTTCTAAAAAGAAGCAGAGGACAGAATGCAGGATATAAACTCTCTGAGATGCGTGTGGCTCTTTTCTCCTGATAATCGGGACAAGTCTATGCAAACAGCAGCAGGAGGAGTGAACAAAAATGGCCCAGGAGCACAAACAGGGCTTACCCTTCTTCTCCAGAACATTCTCATTTTGGGGCTCAAAGCCTCTTCCACTCCAGAGCTTTCTATCTCAACACCAGAGGGCCAGATTCAGACCTGTTGTCCTTTCTAGCCAAGATAATTTTATTCCGTTTTCCATGTGCTGATAACTATTTCCTTCCCCTCCCCACCACCAGGTGAGCCAAGGCTGACTAGTAACTTGTCTGCTCCTCGTTAACACAAGGAAGAATAACCTCACCATGAGAGCACATCGAGATATGTGGCATGTAGGTGGCCAAACTCTTCTCCTCAGGTTGCAAGAGAATGGCCAATTAATCAAATCCCATTGATCACATTAAGATATACTTCCATCAGGTAGACGTCCTTCCCAGATTGCTACAGGATCTGATCTTCAATGCAATCAGGAGAAAAAAAAATGCTATGGGACAGTGAAAATTGTGCAGATTAATGAGATTTGTAATCTTTTTTCTTTTACCTGCACACTCTTTGGGCTAGATGCAGGATGGCTAAATAGATGCTTTAGGAAGGTCAGCCTGACGACCCAAGTGACGAGCATCAGAAGGCCACCTCCAGGGTCAGCCATGTTGCCAGCCCCAAAGAGGCAGCAGGGCCACCTGCTAGAAGGCCTGGGCACTGTTTTGGCTGCTTGGTCCCTCCCTGCCTCCTCCATGTCCTTTGAGACACGGTCTAGGGCAGGACCACGATCTTTTTCTCCAGCTTCTGTGGTGGGAACAGGAAGTTTTTCATTATCTCGTCCAGCTCTTCCAGGGCCAGCTGGGCATGGAGCTTGGCCACGTCATCGGGCTCCACACACACCACGTGCTTCAGCAGGTGGTAGAGATCCTTGAGGACGTCCCTCAGCACCTGGGGAGAGAGACAGTCATGACCATCTATCTATTGTCCTGTGCCAACATTTCTCGTATGACTCAATGGCCTTCTCCCGTCTGAAGAGTTCTGTGAGGCAACCCAGGCTTCCTTAAGACAACAATGCATGGCCTTCTCGGCTTGGAGAAGGAGGCGGGGTGGCTCGAGCACTTGTGCTGAGACAGTTTCCCATGTGTTTCTCACTCACCTCGATGCCTCAGCATGTGGCCTTTGGGGCTGCCGCTCCCCTTCACTCTTGGGCCCAATTATAGATCCCAGGCGCCTTCCTGCAGTCCCAAAGCACGGCAGTGACCTCAGGACTACAGACAGGCAAGACTGCCCAGATACGGCTGCGCCCGGAACAACTGATTACCAGCATTTTCCTTTCTAGCTCCCCACAAAGCCCTGTGCCGACACCCACTGAACAGGCACCTATCTTACGAAACTCAGGAGGCTACTTCTTCAGCCATCATGCCTTTCCTTGCCCCTACTTTTAAGATTTTCCACCAATTTCCGTTTCTGTGCCCTTCCCCTACTCACTATATATATTTTTTGCAATTGCAACTCTGCCATGGGGAGCGAGGGGGGACTCCGGAGACAGGCCCACACCTGTTCTTCATGACCAGTGCTCCGATGTTACGGTCTGATACGGAATAGCGAGAGCACCCAAAGTACCTGTTCCCAGGGCCTCCTACTCCTCCTGGCTTGGGAGCTAGAACCTCTAGCAAGAAACAGGTTCCAAAGGAGCAGGGAAACAGAGTAAGGGGATAGAGGGACTATCTGAACAAACTAAGGACAGAAGACGATTGGGCCACAGAGGGTCACATGACTTGTCCGTAGTTCCTTGTGAAGTTACTTCTGGTTTAGGGGTTTTTACCTCAAAAACGACTATTTTTGGGGTCAGGTACTATACTAGGTTCTTTCCATATAATATCTAATTTTCATGCCAGTCATATAAAGTCATAAATAGGAAGGTTATCAGACCCATTTTATAGTTGAGGAAACTGAGGACTGAAGGGTTAAAGTTTCTCAGCTAAAAAAGAATGGTGGATCTGGGTTTCTAACATCCAGAGCCTGTGTTCTTATTTTTTATTTTTACTGGAAAGATAAAACAGTACAACAAAGCACGTATGAAAAAGTAAAGCTCTTCCTACTCCAGGCTCCTAGTTCCCCTTCTCAGAGGACATCATCTTAATTATAACATACATTCTCGGTTTTTACAAGCATATTTGTATAGATGCCTCTTTTCTCTCTCCTTTTTAAAGCACAAAATTATATTCTACACTCTGTTGTGTACCATGATTTTTCTCCCCACTTTACATATTTTGGAAATCTTTTGTATAATTGGCACATATGGAAATAACTTGTTTTTTTATGGTTGCCGAGGACGAATGTAACACAATTTATTTACCCACTCTCCCAAAGAAAATCATTCGTTTTTTATCTTTTTCTATTGCAAATATTGACCTGATACCTAAGTCTTTGGAGACATGTACTAGTATATCTATAGGACAAGTATCTAGAAACAGAATTGCTGGGCCAAAGGGTAAGGTACATTTAAAATTTTGATAAATATGGCCATAAATGCCAATAATTTACATTTTTTTCTAATACTATGAAAATTCTTGTTTCCTTATAGTCTCATCAGTGTCATGTATTATACACTTTATCTGTGCTAATCTAGTAAATAAAAAATAGCATTTTTGTTTTTAATTTGCACCCTTCTAATAAATACATAAACGAATTGTATTTTTTTCCTGATATGTATAATTGAACTTTTCCTTACTGATTTCTAATAGCTCCTTGAAGATGAAAAAAAGGTCCACTATGTATTGATTGTAAATATTTTTCCTGGATTGGCCTTTTTCCTTTGCGGAATATTTTTTTCCAGTGAAGAAATGCACACTTTTTCAAATAATTAAATTGATCAATTTTTTTACTTTATGGTTTTCAAGTTTTGTATTTTGCTTAAAAGAAATAGGGCCTACAATCTTAGCCACTATACTATGCAATGTTCCTTCTATTTATTAATATTTCTACCTGTATGCATCAAGTTGGGTTATTTCACTACATACAGCATCTCCGACAATAATTGGTTTGAGCAGGCTTTAAAAATTTACTGGGTGAGGTGGCTCACGCCTGTAATCCTAGCACTCTGGGAGGCCAAGGTGGGAGGATCACTTGAGCTCAGGAGTTTGAGACCAGCCTGAGCAAGAGCAAGACCCCGTCTCTACTAAAAATAGAAAAATTAGCCAGGTAC